CAACCATTTTGAATAATATTGCATGAGTTCCTTGTTTTTCAATGCAGCATAGTATTCCATTGTGCGAATATACCACAGCTTCTCTAGCCATTCGTTTGTCACTATGCTTGACTGCTTCACCAGGCTCACTGATATTTGCAGGAACACTAGCAAGACAACTCGGGCTACTTCCAGGCCTTCTGGAATTAACCCTTACAGAAAAGCCTGTATCGCTAAAATAATAGTTTGACAGCAATTCCTTCACTCCTTAAAGATCTAAAACCAACCTAACTTCTTAAAGGATAATGAGAATGACGACCAGCCCACAGCTGATCCCTGTCATATGGAGATCAGACATACCGCCACGATCCAATCCTCACTACAAATCCCGGCACCAGCTATCCTTCCTGTGACTCTGCCTATTTGCAGAGTTCAGTAATTCATTGCCGTGGCTGTATTGAACTCACAGACTGTTGTTGCTAGGTGCCATCAAATTGACTTTGATTACTAGCAACTCTGCTCTTTAGTGAGCTCTGATGGCCTAATGGTAGAGACCTGCACTGCCAATCCAAAGGCCTGTGGTTCAAATCACCAGCTGCTCCAAAGGAGAAAGATGGACCATCTCCTCTCGTGCAATTATACTGTCTCTGAAAACTCACTGGAGGGTCACCTGTGAGTTAGTTATGACTCAGCAGCGCACACACAACATCATAACAACCCGTGTAGAGCAGATCCAAACTTTGCCTCAGTTCTGTGCTGTCCTCACAGTCAGCACTGTGCTTAGGTCCATTGTTGAAGTCAAGTCCGTCTCACCGAGAGTCTTCTCTTTGACTCATCCTACTTCACTAAGCGTGATGTTCTTTTCCAAGGACCACATGCCTAAAGGATGTGAGGTGCATATTACAGTCTGTGTCTAAGGAGTACTCTGCATTTGTTCCGAGACAGATTTTTATTCTTTTGACAATCCATGATGTGTGCAGGACTCGTGCCATCACCACAATTCAAAGACACCAATTCTTAGGTTTTCCTTAGTGTTCAACTTTCGCAAACGTATGAGGTAATTTAAAATACTGTGAATTGGATCTGGTACACCTTGGTCTTTAAAGTGACATCCTTCCTCTTTAGCATTTTAAAGAGATCCTTGACAGCAGATTTGCCTAATTCAATATGTCATTTGATTTCACAGGCCTGAGTTAGAGTTCAATAGTTTATTACAAACAAAGAACAACTCGGCGTCGGGAAGCATGTAGTCAGAGTCTCCCTTCACTACAGGGCCGTGCTCTCTCGGCTCCCCTCAGCCCACTCAGGACAGGTTCCTCTTCACCCTGCCACCTGTCACCTCTGGATCTGCTGCTGGGCTTCCAGACCTGAGGTCTTTATTGCCATAGCCCTGAGCCCATGTTACAGCCCTTTAGGGAGATTCCCTGCCTTGTTTTATTTACATGATAGGCTGTATTCACTTCATGTGTTCAGTCTGTTGACCATTCCCTCAAGGTGTGTACCAGTCACTGGGCCAGCTGCTGCCTAGGGCCAGCCAAAGAATGTCAAACCACTAGTTAGTTACAGCTTCCCCAGGAAATGTCAGTCAAGCTGACCAAAAGTAACACCCTTCTGGAGTAGAAAACTAGGGCAGACACAGCTCCTCAGGATTTAAGGACCAAGACCTCATAATGACACTTAATTCACCACACTTCCCTAAAACCAATTGCCTGTTGGGACTTTTAACCTCTTCAGCTAGGAATCAGTTCATTTCTATTCAAAGCTATCGCGATCCTCTATTTTGGCCACATTAGGTAACTAGTGGGACATCAACATGCTTTGCTTGATTTACCCTCTAGATCTCCATAGAGATTTCCAGATAACCTTGTTCCACACAGAGAACTCTACATTCTCCACGTATGTGTATGTCCTGTTATTAGACCCATTCCAGGACAATATTTACCCAAATAATAGAGTTTAGTGCCCAGTTGTTCTGCTAGGAACTTGGCCTACCATTCAGCTCTTTGAGATTTTCTTCCTCTTTCTGTGAAGATTTCCTCTTCTCCCAGAGTAAAGTAGCTGCATTCCACATTGATCCTAATAACATGATGTGCATTTCCAGTCTTAATAACTGTAGTCTTTCACTGTCTTGAGTAAAAAAGCTAGGGCGCAAGTCAGGTGCTGTCTTTCCTAGAGTGTACACAGGAGGGCAGCATCGGGTAACTTTTAACCCCAAAGCCCAGCTGTATACAGTGGAATGGTGACTACCGGCTTTTGCCAGAAACTCCAGTTGACATGAATGCAGGTGGCTGATGCTTCAAATGTCATTCTAGCACTGGCATTGTATGTCCCAGCAAAATAGCTCAAGCTGCAGTTTTCTCCAATTCTAAGAAGACTTTAATTAAAGGCTTTATTTTTTTTTTTCCATTGTAAAATTTTATCAAAGGGATAGTTTGTGACTTCAGGGGCATCATGGTTCAGCAAAGTGAAAGATTAAAAATCATAAAAACACTTTAAATTCTTTTTTCAGCCTCAAAGAGGGACGAGAATGAAATAAATCCTTAGGAAAGAAATTGCTTTCCTAAATTAGAAAAGTTGGGTTTCTAAGCTATGCTTTCTTAACTCTACTGCTTAGAGCCCTAAAGAGAAGTAAAACGCCACAGGAATGGTTCCTCTGGAAGTCAATGTGAGAAGAACTGGCCATATCCAGTCACAGGCCAGATGGAGGTTCCGAGGTAAAGGCAGAATCTGTGATATGTAATGTGACCGTCAACTTAACCACCCAACCAGGACACTTCTGAGAGTGTAAGAACACACTGTTAATTGTTGTTGTTAGGTGCTGTCGAGCTATTAATTACTGGAGGACAAAGAGGCATAAACTGGGACTTATGGCCACCCTAGTGATAAGGCAGTTGGGGAAATAACTTTTCTGGTAAATCCTACACCCTGAGTCAAAATGACTGACTGGGCCCTGCTGTTAGCACCATTTAAGAGGTAAACTGTATGTGGCTGGGTTCTGACATGGAGGGGTTCTCACTTCCACATGGGAGACTTAACCAGACACAAAACAACACCTGAGGTAAAGTTTCAATGGATATTAAGTGCAGGAAACCTGCCTAGCTCCCAGTGGGGTGGGGCCAGCGGAGCTGTCCATTGGTCCATTTC